ACCCCTCCCCACACACACAGCCCACGGCCATCCGCCCCCATGTTCCTCTGCGCTGCCAGCACACTGCGTGCGTGGATCCTGCGTCGGCATCGTGGGGACTCGGCTTCCGCTGTTTCCAGAATGGGGGGCAGGCGGGGACGGGCTCCTGCTAAGGGCGAGGTGTGGCCCTGCCTCTGCACCCACATCTGGTGCCGTCCACGCTTGTGCCCCTCCTTCAGGGACCCTGTCCACCCTCTGAGGACGCAGGGAGCCCGGCCCCACCGGAGCCCGCTCCGCACTCCCAGCAGGACCCCAGGCCGAGCGACGCCGGCCCGTCTGCGTGGTGCCCAGTGAGCGTCTGTGAGGGGTCCACGTCTGGCTCCGAGCCTGACGCCGGCAGGGCCTCGGTCAGTGCTGAAGAACTCCATGCTGCGGCCAAGAGACCGTCTGTCACTGTCACCGTACGCTTCCGTCAGTGGGCCTTGAGTGGCCCCTCGGGGAACAGTGGCCTCCGCAGTGCCTGCCACCCGCACCCCATGCAGGGGCCTCTGGGCCCAGGAGGGGCCTGGTGGGGGTGTGGAGATGAGGCCCTTCTGGCCGTGCCAGCCACCCCTGCTTGGCCTTTCCGGTCACCTTCGTGACTGCGGGTTGAGTCATTCGATGGCTGAAATAGCTCTGGGGACATTCTGACATGTGAGCACAGCCCCCTGAGGACCTGCCATGTGGCCTCCTCTGCCCCTCCACGTTCCCTGCCTCCGGGTGCTGTGACCCCACAGTCCAACAGAAAGACGGAGAATTGGGCTGGCATCAGGTTGTGCCAACTTCCCATCTGAACCCAAGGCGTCTCTGGAAGGGGGTCAGAGTGACAGAAAGCTGGATGTGGACCGCGCCCTATTTCTCTGCCATTGGCCTGCAGGCACCGGTGTCACCGGACGCCTCCCTCCAAGATCTCCAACCCAGGGGGTGCGGATGGCCCCTCCGTGCTGGGAGGCGCCTTCATGACAGCAGGTGCGGGCTCCAGCCCAGGGCTTCCGGCCATACCACGTTTGCACGTTCTCATGCTGACCGTGTCATCCAGGCGCCACTTGGCCTCTTGCTAAGCTCCAGCCCCCTGTACTCATTACGGCTGGCTTTTACCTACCAGCCCCCACCCCACCCCACCCCCCCGGCAGGGCTGCGACCAGCTTCCTGCTTCCACTGCCACCTAAGAACGGTTTTCACTCCCAGAGATCCAAGACGTACAGGCTGATATGCAGGGGATTAGCCAGGACCACACGGTCCTTTTTCAGGCAAGCCCTGCCTTGCCAAGGTGGCCTCACCTCTAGCCGGACGTGTGCAAGATTCAGGAGAATGCCCCCGGCAACAGACGCAGAAGTGTGACTGCATGGGCAACAGCCTCCATGAACACAATACCTCTCCTCTGCTCAGCCTGCTTCCGGCCATCTCTGCTCTCCTGCCCTCTACCCCAGAGAAATGCTGAGCTCTGTTTGCAGGATGCTTGTGTGGTGCATGTTCACGACACAGCTGAGCTGGGCTCCCGCCCTCCCTGCAGGGACACGCCACCTGGTGCCCAGGCCATGAGCACTGGCCATCGATTGGTTCCTAGCTCATTCCTACCCCAGGGCCTTTGCACAAGCTGTTCCCTCTGCTTTGCACAGTCTGCCCTCCTGAGGTCACTATGCAAGCTCACGACCCACCGTGCCCCAGTGTACCGCCTGGGGTCTCCATCCCTCTAGCAGTCGTCACTGCCTGAGACTCCAGCACAGTTTCAAGCACACTCATTTGTCTGCCTGCACGTGGGCAGGACACCCATCTGTTCTGCACCCCCCTGGGGCTTGCAGCGAGGTCTGGCAGGGCCCCTGCCATTCAAGGCTCTGGCTCACCCTGCCGTTGTTGCTGGGGGTGAGGGATGCAGGCCTGTGCACCTCGAGTGTCACCTGGCAGCTCAGCTCCCGGCTGTGCTCTGTCCCAGCCGCACACTGAGCCTTCCCACCTGCGACAGCTGCACTCCTGATGAGCTCCTATGCATCCTTCATGACCCATTTCAGGTGCCCTCCTCAGTGCAGGCTTTCCCAGTGGCCTGACTGTGCTGCCCCCACTGGTCCTGTGGATGCCCCTCTTTCACTCGAGGGGTACCTGCATGGCCCTCTGCGCCCCAGAAGTCACTGAATTGGAATGGCCAGTGGTGTGAACTCTCCCGCGGGCCTGGGCATGTGCTCTTGTGGAGGCAAGGTCTCTCACTGGGGCCTTCGATGATTGCCTGACCCTGGACTTGCAGGCAGGCCCAGCACGTCCTTCTTTGGCCCCACACGCCTGGCCTGAAATAGCATGTGGATGGACGGTCCCCGCGCTGCAGCGAGGACAGTTGTGGCTGAAACAGCATGTGGATGGATGGTCTCCGTGCTGCAGCGAGGACAGTTGTGGGAGCACCAAACACCAGCAGTTTGCTCCTCAAAGCCAAGCGTGTTTCCGTCTTGTCAGTGTTTTCCAAAGGCAGTCTGGGGTCTGGGCTGCTGCCCCTGCCTGTGGGTGCGGGCGGACGTCCCCGAGCCCATCCCTGGGCAGGACCAGAACACCTCTCTCCAGGGCCAGTGTAAACATCGCGGCCAAAATAAACTCTCCTGACGGTTCCGTTGGCACCTCTGGCGACCGAGAGGTCACCTGGAAATACAAGGACACTGGAGGGTCAGCATGCAGGACAGTCCCCTGGCTGAGACCCTCCACCCCACCTGACCTCAAAAGGCCGGCAGCGGCTGGTCCCTTGGGGCTCCCAGGGGTGCCTGCCTGGCCCTCACCGTCGACTTTATCAGCAGGCACTGGTCTGCCCTGGGCTGACCTGTGCCCCCTCTGTGTTCGTCAGCGTGTCCTGGGGCAGCAAGGGGACGTCCCTAGGGCCCCGTGTCCTCTTCTGAGACATGGGGTCTCCTGGCGTGGTTGGGAAGACAGCCTGGTCCCCTGGCAGCCACCCCTCCCTACCCCTCCCACACTTCTCGTTGCGGTGCTCAGAGGCTTATACCCAGAGTGCAGAGCCCCCATGGCAGCCAGGTCTGTGAGCCACGTCCCAGGTCCCCTGTTCCTCTGTGATCTGCACTCACCCTTTCCTGCCCCTTGGAGAGTGAGCCTGGGGCCTGACCCCTCCTGCTGCCCCTACAGAGGCACTCCCTGTGGGCACTTGGTGGCCACCTCACCCAGCAGGCCACTTCTGCTGCCCGGAGCCTGCAGTCTGGCTGACTCAGGCGCTGGGGCTGACGCAGGCAGGCAGGCGCCCCTCCCCTCACGCCAGGGCACAGCCACGCTGGGAGCATCTGTGCTCTGTCCTCACTGAGAGACACTGGGCCCATGTGGCCCAATATTAATGGCAGCGATTGGCCCAGTTGGTGCAGCTGGGTGAGAGAGATATTTGGGCTATATTGTGGCTTTTTGCCTATTTTAACATTCTTGAAAACAAGCTATCAGAATGGGGCAGGATGGACGCAGGGTCAAGAGCCCACAGGTGGGCTCCGGGCCCTGAAGGCACCAGTGCCCACAGGCCTGGAGGTCTCCCTGGTTTCTGTGTCCCCATGACCTCCTCGGAAATAAGGGGTATTTCCAGTTCCCTCTGTGGACACCTGTTTCCTGTGCTGTCTGGTCCAGGTGCCTGTGGGCCCAGGGCTGGGGGCAAGTCTGGCTGAACTGGGGAGGCTGGCGGGTGGCTCACAAGCAGGAGCTGGGCGTCAGGCAGGCTGGGTTCGAATTCTCCATTCACAAGGGCTCTGACCGCCCTTGCACAATGGGCCGGGATAGCACCAGGCACTGCCTCTCTGACCTGGGGGACCCCCCAAGTGGTGGGGCTGAGGCCCGTGTGCACCCGTGGGTGGCCCTTTGGCCCCTCCCAGTGGACCCTTCTGATCTCATCTCCCCAGCTGTCAGAGGGGCTCCAGTGTCTGCCAGACACACTGCCACCTGCCTTCCAGATACGGAAACATGGGGAACAACGATTCAAGATCTAAACACAAAACTTCTTCACCAAAGAGCCTGGCGACAGGAATTAAATGAGCCTGAAGTCTGGAAACTTGTGAGCAGAACAGAGGACCTGCTCCACCACTGGAGCTTTGGGTGCCTGTCTCCATGGCCTCTGTCCCCTTGGGTGCCTGTCCCTGTGGGCACCTGTCCCCACGGGTG